AATTTAGTTGTTAATTAAAACAAAATGTAACATGATTTTTAATTGGCCTTGATAAAATAATTATATCAAATGTGCTTTGAAAAGATATATAACTAAACCGTTTCTATTAAGAGGTTGTATATCTATACTAGTATTTTTGCAACACTTTGGTGACGGGTGGGTAAAAATGCTTCTGGGTTAATCGGATATCCGACCCGTTTTTTAAATTCCTTCACAAAAAAATACTTGGATCGGGTTAAATAAAACCCAACTCATACACCGGATATTCTATATTTAATAATTTAGATATTTAGAAGATTTGATTAAGATTTAGAATTATGATTCTCCTATCATCTTTGTTTGATTTGTATTTAACTGTTTTGAATCATCATATAATACATAAGTAAAAAAAAAATCAATTTTTTTTTCTGCATATACTGTGATTCGAAATTTTAAAAATGGACATATATTATCCAATTGACGAAAATGTGTGTTCAACGTTCTACATCGATTAAAATATTTAGACAATGATTCAGAATCATATCATAAATAAGATCAACACTAATAAAATAAATGAGTTTTTTGGCGGGACGGGTTTGCCGGAACGGGTTTGCCGGAACGGGTTTTTGAATCAACAATAATAAAAAGATTAAAATATCATTAATCCGCCGCTTCAATACGGATTAAATCCTTAATTTTTTTTAATACCACCAATATTAGACATATTAAATCAGTCTCATTTAGAAAAGATTGTATAAAACCAAAAATTGTCCCGTGGTATAATGTTACTTAATAATAATTGTAAACTATAAACTATAAATATCTTAAAAAATTATAAAATTTGCAAACTTTTATATATAATAAATAATCGTTAAATTTTAAAAATTACTACTTTTAGAAAACAAATCACGGGACGGGTTAAGAAGTTACAGGACGTGTTATATTTCGGAACTAAGTTATATGGTGGACGAGTTTGAATCAATATTTATAAAATTTTAAAATATCATTAACATGCCGCTTTAATACAGATTAAATCTTCAGTTTATTAAAATACAAATGTCTTAGAGAATGATATGATTTGTAAGCTTTTATATATAATAAATAATCATTAAATTTTAAAATAAAAATAAATCACGGGACGGGTTAAGAAATTACGGAACGAGTTATATTTTGGAACGGGTTTATATGGCGGACAAATTTGAATCAATATTTATAAATATCATTAACATGCCACTTTAATACGGGTTAAATCCTCAGTTTATTAACAATTGTCTCGTGGACTCGTGGTATACCGTTACTTAATAACAATTGTAAACTATAATATAAATAAATATTTTATAAGGAGATACAATTTACAAAATATTCTTATACTAACTTTAAAAATAAATCATCCCGCGGTACACCGCGGGTTAAAATCTAGTTAGTTACTGAAAAGTCAAAACAACTAATACATACAGTTGGGACAATCATCTGGATTGATTTTCATAAGTCCTCTACCACCACCTTCACTTATCTAGCGCCGGTTTCAACAAAATCTAATTTAAGAACATTTTACCCATTCAAAATTTAAAGATAATTCGTACAGATTTAGTCTTAATCTATAAAGTCTATTAAGTTTACATCAAAATCAGTAAAAAAATAGAAAACGATTATAAGAAATCAGATGACAAAAAAAAATAAAAATTATAAGAAATCAGAATTGTGCATCCTCTTAATATTTTCTTAGAAAATTAATCATGTACTTAAGCCTAAACCATTAGAGAAAAAAAAGAAGATCAAGAAAAAATTATATACTAAAAACTCCAAGTTTTTCTTTTTTCTTTTGAATGATGTAAAATTTATTCAACCCAAAAAAACCCTTATTACAATATATGCATCCTTGAATTGAATGTTATTTTGAAAGAGAACCAAAAAATAAGAATTAAAATTTAGGTTCTTGAATCAAACCAAATCTTTAGCCCATCTTCGAACTTGCAAGGATCAATAAGTCTGATTGAAGATATCTTGTTCGAACCAACCGACCAAAAATTTTTATTAACTGATCCGAGGAGCTTAGAGGATCTCCATGTCTGCGTCTATTGCGTTCGAGCCAAAGAGAGTGAACGGGTGCTTGAAAGACAATCCTCATAATGGAACATCTTGTTCCATTAATGGTGGAGCTAGAAAGTAGTGATAGAACCTCGGTGAAGCTGTTAGTATAGCGAGAGTTGAGAAACTTTCCTAATAATTTTTCTCACACCCGTGAAGAGAAAAGGCATGCAATTTAAAGATAAACAAGAGAATCTACATTCTCTTTATTTTATCTCTCTCGAAATTCACCTTCTTAGACTCTGTGCGATATTTTGAAACATTTATTTTTCATTTTAGTGGCTTAAATTACGATTAATCGTTTTCTCTTTTATAAGACAAACATTACTATCGTTCTTGTTTTCTTCTTGTATAAATATTTCTTGATATAAGATCTTTTAATTACATTTTGAGATTTATCATTGGGAAAATTGGAAAAAAGGACAAATAATTAAACTATTGTCCATCTATGCATTCTATATTCATGATTGGTCATATATACTTTAATATTGGTCATATATGATTTCATATAATTAAAATCCCAATATGCCCCCATTCTTTTAAAATCTTACTAAACTATTAAAAAAATTCAAAATTAAATTGATTTCTTTCTAAAAACAATTTGGAAAAAATATAGGACAAAATCAACATTTATTTACATTCCATTATTTGTTTGCCGTAGATAATTTCATATCTTCTTCTTCTTTGATTCTCTTGCTCATTAAAGTTAAGCTTTCGTAATTGTTCTCTCCTCTCTAATAACGCCATATTAAATAACTTTTTTTTCTTCTTCTTCAATCTCTCTCTCTATCTCCCTCTCTTGATTTCAATTTCGTAATGGAGCGCAACTGTAATTTTTCGGGTTTTGAAACAAGAAATTAAGCGTAATCTATAGGAAAAAGTGTGAAGTATAAAGAAAAATTCTAATTTGTGTTATAATTTATTCACTTAGGTATAATGAATTTTAAAGTATTCAAAATTCAACTAATTTTCTGGGTTTTGAGATAAGAAATTAAGCGTAATCTATAGGAAAAAGTGTGAAGTATAAAGAAAAATTCTAATTTTTGTTATAATTTATTCAGTTAGGTATAAAGAATTTTAAAGTATTCAGAATTCAACTTCTGTAATTTGCAGATGTAATCAAATTCACTATATTCAATTTCCATATTTTAAGATTTTTTTTTTTAAATCTAAATTAGATAGAATGTACTTTCTAATTTTTATAGAATAAAAAAAATCTTAAGAATATGTTTTCTAACATTCTTAGAACATGAGCAAATGTTAGAAAACATATTCTAATTTTCGTAGAACAAAGAACAAAGTATAGAATATGTATTCTAAAAGTCGTAGAAACTAGTATTCTAAATACCGTAGAACACAAATGACTTCTAAATTTTTTAGAACATGTAGAGTGTGTAGAATACATAATCTAAATTTTTTAGAACATGTAGAGTGTATAGAATATACATTCTAATTTCAGAAGACATATTCTAAACTTTATAGATCAAATTTTATCCATCTAAAACGAAAACAAAACAATATATTTTTGACATTTTATATATCTTCATGTCTTCTTCATCATTTTAATACATATTTTTCTTAATTATTTTTGAAACAATTGGTTCAATCTTATGCAAGGGGTAGTTTAGGAATAGTTGATATTTGTTTATAGAATTCATATATGGACAAATACTTAAATATTTATCCTTTATTTCCAATTTTCCCTTTATCGTTTATGTTTGTTATGGTATTTATGCGTTGGAAAGAAAAAATTCATAATAAATATCTTTGAAAAATAAACATTTTAGAAGGTAATAAAGAAAACAAAAAAACATAATAGTAAATATGAGCAAGATTTTGCTTCGTAAGGGTTCCAATCTTCATTTCATGTTTCTCCCGATGAAAAAGATGGAGCCATTAACTACTAAAAAGGTCAGTATGTCAATATAGATATCAACAAATAATGAATATATAAATCATGTAAACTATTTCTTTTAACGGTTAGGAAAATCAGTCGGATTGATTTCCGGGGAGGTTGTGGGAACCGACCTCCACCTAGCCCTAAAGTATAATATTAGAAAAAGCTGTTTAAATTTACTAAAGTAATTTGATTTTAAGATGTTACTTTAAATGGTAGAAATAAATCATATTGAAAAATATGTCTCTAGCTAGATAAATAATTTTTTATAGAAATAATTAAATTATATTTAAAATGATCATGGTGTATTTTAGATTTGGAGTCACTAAAAATAGAGAGAAATAGAAGTCAAAAGGATAGATTAGATAGCTAATCACACAAAGATTAAAAAATAGAAATGTATAATTGGCTCTCCTCCATCTAAACCAAAATCCTACGATGTATTATTTTGCTATTAATTTATTTAAAAATTAATTAGTATTACCACTCTAATTTACTTTAACCCTTTTATCCCATCAAAAATAGCAATAGTTCCTACAAAGCCAAATATTATCAGAAAATAAATAATCATACAAAAATGAAAAGAAATGTTTAATTGGATCTCATCCATCTAAAACAAAATCCTACAAACTATTTAGCTATTGAACTAATTTTTAAATTTATAACACCACTCCACTTTATAAACTTTTATTAAAAATCCATAATTACAAGAGTTTTGTTGTAGTTAATAATAAGAAGTCGGGCCGGGTCAAGTAGGGTCGGGTCAGGACAAGCCCAACTATTTTTGAATGACAAGAGTAATCATTTGCATTTTGCAAGAAGTGGGTATGCGAGTTTTGAATAGAGTGGTCTCATTCTCCAAATTTGGAATCACGCCGATAAAGCCAAAATATTTACCCCACGAAAAAGCTCCGACAACCAAAGTAACCATCTTTTTCCGAGGATTCCATTGCTAAAGCACCATTTTGTCCACAATCACTAAACCCTAAAATCTTTTTCACCTTTGAATCCTTTTCATGCTTCTTCTTACATTCCCCGATTTCTTTTTCCTCTGAGAAAGTGATTTCCTTTTGATTTTGATTCTTTTTTAGTCTTTCTGCAATGATTCCGTATTTTGAATTAAGGGTTTATAATAAAGCAGAGATTGGAGTTTGGTTTGTTGTGTATCAACTATCACAATGGGTGCTCTTAGAAGAAGAAATGTTGGTTTGATTGATTCAAAGGGTTGTTCTAAATTGTTTCCTGTTTTACAATCTCCTCCTCCTACTCCTTCAATGTCTCACTCCAATGGTCCATTCTCTTCTCTTGTCATTTGTGTCACTGGTTTATCCAAAGGTAAAGACTTTGTTCCTTTTTCAATCTCTATTAGGCAGAAAGTTTGAATTTTTATGTTCATCAATATTAAGTTTCATACTTGGCAGCTATTTTTCTAGAATTTTAGATGTTGTTGTTGTAACTTTGGTTTTATATTTGTAAATATAAAGAATTTGTTCCTTTTTAATCTCGATTAGTCAGAAGTTTGGAGATTTATGTTCATCAATCTTTAAATTTCAGATGTTGTTGTGATCTTGTTGTGTTTGTAACTTTGGTTTTGTGTTTAAAAATTGGGTTTTGATGGTATGATATGTTGTTACATTGGTTTGTTTCGTTGCAGATGCAAGAAAACAAGTCAAGGAAGCGACAGAGAGACTCGGAGGCGAGTACAGTCCTCATCTTCACCTGCGATGTACTCATTTGGTTGTCCAGATATCCTTTTTTTGTTTCTTTCATTTCTATTCATCTTTCTTGCAACTTCTTGTGTTTGCCTACTGAACCAAACATGATTGTGTTCTAAACCTTTCTTAAGATAGTTTGTGTGGTTGTTACGTATATACTACTGTAGTATGATTCTTTGCGGATATAATTTATATCTTATCACTTGATTACATTTTATCTGGGATGCTTAACGAAAGCTTACAGCTCTTGTGGACGTAAGTTTGAGCACACTTTGAAACATGGGGCAAGAAATGGTCTATTTGTTGTTACGATTGGCTGGTTTGTAGATAGCGTCAAGAGAAACCGTAAGTATTCAACACTGTTTCAATGATTTGCTCCAGGTAGTAGTATCATAGATTTGACCATTCAGTTTTGCTGGTTACTTATAGCAGTACAAATTTGTGAAAACTTTGCTAGCATATCCGTGGACCCTTGACTCTTTGTTGACCCTTTCAACTTTTATGTTAGAGTAATATTAACCTTCTAGTCAGCAGTCCTACACTGGCTTCTCCTAGTTTGCTAGAGATATTCTGTGATCTATCATCAGCATGATATTGGAATATTCTAAATAGCTTCAGTTCGGTTATTAGAGTATCAAACTCAATCAGAACAGATTTACTTTGGAAAAGAGGGCTCATGGATATTCTAATTAAGTTAAAATGTTATTTGTGTCTAAAGTTGTATCTGAAAGTTGATATTTTTTTGTAATATTGTAGTCAGGATGAGCGAATCACTTTACAATGTTAAACAACTTGGACAAAATTGCGAGAAGGGGGGTGAGCTAAGCCGGATTTTTGATCTCGAACCTATATGTCGTCCTCGACAAATTCAAGCTGTACATTCTGGCACATCAACGAAGAACCACCAAGTATCTTCTTCTGGAACAGAGTCTGGCACTAGTGTAGACATGACTCTTGCTGACCATTGCATGTATGTTGATTCAGACATTTCAGATGAACTCCGCCTTAAGGTAATTTATCTCATTGGGTGCTTTCAACTTGTTGGCCAGATTGCAGTCTTTTCTGTGAGCCTGTTTAAATAGAATGTGGTCTGTTTAGGTGTTAAAGGTTGCTGGAGAGCAAGGAGCAAAAGTGATTGATTCATGGTTTATTGGTTGCAATGCAAGTCTTGTCGTGTGTGAAGGTGCTTCTATCCAGAGATATCTTGGCCATGCCAACACCATTGTCTCGGTGAGTTCTTCTTTATGTCATTGTTGTAGAATTGTAATGTATTCTCCAGAAGGTGTACTTCCGTTTGTTTTGATTCTCTATGAAACTGTGGAGAATTTTATAATCAATACCATGTAAATGCTACTTGACCATAGTGAGCTAGATGAGAAAGATAATCCTAAATGATTAACAGATTTGTCGTGATGACCTAAACATGCTTGCTTTCGCTTGTTTGTTTGCATCAGCCACTATGGGTTCTGAAAACAGTGGAGAGACATCGACAAAGACTTGTTCATATGTCACCTGATTTAGCCAGACAGTTAGGATTAATGCTTGAAAATTTTGAAGATGGTACTGCAAAAGAGGTACTTTTTTCATATGGTGTGATTTTTATCCTTGCACGTAATTTCTCAGTCATCCTTGTCCCGTCTTGTAATCTTTAGTGACGAGAGTAATAGTTGCAACCTTTCTCTCTATAAATGTCACAGAAAATTTGCGGGCAAGGTAATTCTCAAGATGCTTTTAAATTCAGAAGTTTATCAAAACAAGAACGGAAAGAGACTGTAAATATAGCTAAAACTGGTGTTAGGAGACGGCGTGCTCGCTATATGCAGGTAAGTGATGATCCCCTGATGTCTTGAATTCACCGTAATGTCTGTATTTTTATGTCTGTTCTTTATCTGAATGTCTCATAGACTTGTCAAAACCCAATAAGACGCATAACACAAAGCAGCCTGCTGGAGAATATTTGCTGGACAATATCTGAAGCAGCTTCAACCGCCACTATTTTTACTGATCCTTGCAGCAGCAGTCGTGACATCAGTGAACCCCAGCTTTCTGTTGTACAAGAAGGGATAGATAAAGGGTTAGATCCAGTGGCTTCTTTTTCAAATTCAACCAGAGCGCTCACCGAGAGGTACTGTTTCGCTCTTCTTACATCTCTTTTTCTTCACTCTTTAGTTTTGCATGCTGCATGATTCACCTGAGAAGTAAATTGCGTCCAGTGATAGTCTACTACTGTCTATTGTTGCCGTTGTTGCAATTGTGGAAATATCTCACTGTGGTCAACTATCTGTTTTTCCCGGGTGTTCTTCTGCAGCGAAAAGACGGAAGTAATATTTAAAGACAGCTTCCTTACAATTCTATTTCCAGCTGATCGGTTCTCGGAGATTGGACCTTCTTCACGGACTTATTTCAGTGATAGCGGTTTCACTTGTCTGCAAATCTTAAACTATATCCACAGATTTTATCAGGTATAACTATCTTGATGTTTCTGCAATTCAAATGGCCAATTCCTTCGTTTCAGTTTCTTTTGGTTCCATTTGCTAGATATGTTTAGGTAGCAAAAATGGCTGAAAGGGGATCCTCCAAAATCAATCTCTTCATCTTAGTTAGAAATTTATTAGTGATTAGTATTTTTAGTCTCTGTTGAATCATTCTGGTCAGATGTTTTTATGATTCTAGGCCCATATTCGTTTAGTTTCACAGTAATCAGATGTTTCTTCCTTGTCTGTATTGATTCTACAGGAGAACTTGCCGGATCATGAAATAGAGGTTGCGATTCACACAGACTCAAGGCACGCAGACCGTCTCAGAACAGTGTATTGCAGCAAAGAGACATCAGATGAAGGACACATCGTTTTCCCGAGAATAGAGTTACTGGGAAGCAGGAAATGTTTCGAAATGCTTAAGCGGGTGAATGGAGAGAACAACAGTAATGTTTATGAGCTCATGATTAGAGCTTAATTTCTCTTATACAATACAAAATGGGACCAAGATGTTTTTTAAAGTACAAAATATCACCTTTGGCTTATGAATTCAAAACTTAGTGATGCACACTAAATCTAAGAGAATTACAAATATGAGAATTTCCAGAAGAAAGGAGTATAGCATATAGAGTAAAACTGTAAAAAAAAGTACAGAGAATCAACAAAACATCGTATAGATCCCGACAAAAAGATAGAAAGAGGATCGATCCTCTGATGCTACAAAAAGTATTAACTGAACAAACCTAAACATTTTTATGCATACGCCTTCATTCCTTCCTTCTTGCAGATCTCTTTCCTAACACTTTTTTTTCCTTCTTCATTTTCAGCTAGTTTCTCTCTTTATCTCTCTCCCCATGTACAGATCAGATACAACAAATGAATAGCGTGGTCACCTTTCGTCTTTTTTTTTGTTTTCTTTTCCGGTTGTGTATCCTATATAAGTACCTGGCTTTTGTCTGTCAGTATATGATGACTCTAAGGAGACCAGCCTGCGGCTCGGAATAGTCAAGGCCTTCTTCTTCGAGTAGGTAGCGCTGTACAGCAACTGGGAGTCTAGCCGGAGTGCGGGAACCCCTTGTGTGGTGGCCTGTCCCTACACATATGAAAACCTGAAGCCTTTCTTGCGTTGCTCGAGCTGTGCTCCTCAACACGCTCAGTTCGTGCTTCAACACCTGAAGAGCTTCACTCACATGTAACCCATGCAAGTCTATCATTCTCTCATTCCCTCTACTGTTTCCTTGACCCACTGGGTTCCTGTTTCATTTATTGCTCATAGGCAGGTTAGAACAGAAATACTGAGAACAAGGGTTTTAATTTTCGTTTATGGAAATAGCAGTGTGTGTTTTTGGGTTAAAAGATCATGTCATAAGGGGATGCAATGCAGTAAGGTAAAAAAGTCAAACCTCTGGCGGTAAATAGCTTCTTGAGCTTTCCCATGAGCAGCCTTCATTTGCATGTTATGCAACTGTCCCTTGACACTTAGCTCTTTAGCTAAGGCCTTATTGCCAACAAGGTATGCTTGACGTGCCTACGCTCAACCAGAAGCAACATAGAATATTGAGCGTACATGACTAAAACAAGAAAGATAACAGGTTAATAAGATGACGCCGAGGAAATAGAACCAGTGAAAACCCCATCACTGACAAAAAGGCTTTGTAAACTATCATCTTAAATTGCATACAAGACTCGAAATACTTTAAAATTCACTATGTCATACACCCGATTTATTTTTCAAAAATCAAACTGGACAATAGAGAGATCACCATCAAGGTTAGGCCCCAATACACAGTCTTAACATTTATAGACAGGTATGGACCAAATGGAACTTCCCAGTCGCACAAAACAACATAGCTAGATAGTCTGCAGAAAAACTAGAGGCCACATAAACGAGTAAAAATGTCATTTCCAAGTATATTATACCTGTTCAAAGTACACATTCCGCAAACGTGCATAGTCACGTGCTTCCTCGCGTAACTCAGAATACATATTGCCTGTTCATCCCCAGGAGAAAGAGAGCCAAAAATGCAACATCGTCCAATAAGATAACATATGTTCAATACAGATGTATAACAAGACTGATATACCAACAGCATATGCGATAAAGTTTGTTATAAAGGAGAAATTTTACCAACAGCATCTCCGGTCTCCACCCAGACAGGAGCAGGTCGAGTTTGGGCTCGACTTTGCAGCTTATCAGAATATATACTCCTCCCACGGCCACTTTTGTAAGCACCAGCTGAAGCATGAGAATTCCTGCTAGAGCCAATAGATGAGTCTGCTGAATCGTTTCGTTCATATTTCCACATACCAGAATCCGGAGATGCTAACTTCCTGACAGCAGAAACATAATCGATTGAACCAGGCTGAGTAACTGATGGTCCCGACTTGAAGAAGAACATGTTATCCTTTTCAGGAGATTGGTAATGATTTCCAGTTTGTTGCAAATCATCCCCACCAAACTGGGAAGGAATACCATGGCTATTTGAGATGCTTAGGGCAGGAAAGTCCATGGGAGTTAGACTAGGAGGAGCATAACTCTTAGGGCTTATGTTCTGATTCAAGCCACCATCCACTTGTAGCTACAGGAAAAAAAAACATGGAAGTTAATAACCATTGAAACACACACAATCTTAGATAGCAAAACAACATGACTAGACATAACAGCTAAAAAGGACAATAACCAATCTTAAATATTTTAACATAATAAGGAAACGAAACATCAATGAAGCTATGCCGTATATTAAATAGGAGAATACCTCAAGCTGAGTAAGCATCTCAACTGTCAACTGCAAATCACACCCATTAGCAAAATAAACTTCTGCTAGACTTTCAACGGCGAATCCGGGGAACTGAGAAGCAAGAAAATCCACAGGGTTCACCTCCATTTCCCCTGGACTCTCAGTAATCATATCGTTAACAAACCCATGTCGAGATTTCCCACTAAAAGGGTTTCTTTCCCTGTCATTCCCAAGAAGCTGCTCAGCATTCATAATTTGCTTATCCCAAGGCTTTGGACTCAAATGCATGAAACTCGGTCGCTGAGGATCTTCCCCAAATGAAGAAATGGGATATCTACTCTTCTCTCCCAAGCTATTACCATTAGCATTATGTGAAGCTAATCCAGTTTGGTCAGAAAATCCATATCCTCCACTAGCAGAAGGAAACTTTTCAGCTTCATTACCGTCAAACAACGACAAGCTAGCTAATGACAAACTCCCAGATCCATAAGAATTGTCATCTTGGGTCATTAACCCAAAATCTGGAGTTATATCATCAGGAAGTTGATGACTCCAGAACTGACGTGCTTCTTCATCCGAATGATGTGATGTAGATGATTCAGTCCGGTCCAAAACCGCTTTCCCAACAGAACTAGAGGAAGCTAAAAGTCTTGATGTCGCCGCATCCAAAGTACTTGTACCTCCAGATGAAGGAGAACGTAGAGTAAACGGAACAAACTCAGCAGCATGAGGGTTTAAAGTTGTTGGCTTGATACTAGTACCACTTAGCTTTGGATCACTTGCTTTCTTGGTTAAGCTCATTGCTAAAATGGGACAAAAGAAGACTAATAAAAATGAAACCTGCAAAAAAAAAAAAAAGAGTTGGCTTTTATAACTCAAATTACTCAGAAAAGAAACCTGCAAAATAGTTTGCTTTAATCAAAGAAATTACTCAGATAAGAAAGTAGTCACCTGAAGGTAATAGAGAGATACACACGTGCGTGGACTCTCAATTCATATTACCAAACCTAAACAAGAAAAAAGAAAAGAAGATACATTTTCAGTGGCTACAAATTCATAAGTCAAACCCATTGCAGCTTTTTTATTTATGATAATGCAAAAAAAAACAACTCATTGTTCTTCTTAACAGACAAAGACTCCAAATTTTGTAACCCAACTACTAAATTCCTAAATTCTAGAAAAAGAAATTGAATGAGGGTATCTTTAAATAACTGAAATAAAAGAAACCCCTTTATTAAAAACAAGATTTTTAAGCAAATCCAAGAAAAAAAAAACCAGATTTGTGATTTATTCAACCACACAAAAAAAAACCCAAATCAAGATAAGAATAACCATAAAAGAAAGAGCAAACCTTTGGGGAAGAAATAGAATTGGATCCATGGAAGATAACAAGATCAGAGGTAAAAAGAAAAGGTAAAGGCTGCTGTTGAAAACAAGATAAAGAGAGAGAGAGAGAGAGAGAGATTATGCAGTTTGGGGTAATCGGAGAGCTCAAAGTTGTAGTTACCTCCTTCACCTAGGGATTCGAGTTTTGGGGTAAGCGTCGTCTTCTTTCTTCTAGTCGAGTATTATTTTTGTTTGGCTAAAGAGGTAACACGAGCACCACAAGATTTTATTAAACAAGACACCAAACCTTGTGCCACTCGATTTGACCTTTTTTTTTTTATCTATCTACATTTATTTATTACTAATAACACTTAATCCTTATCACTAATAAGGGTTTTAATTGTAAAATTTTGGGCTTTAATTATTTGCTTTGATTAGACTAACTTTATGTTTTTTTTAGATTTCTCTATATTTTAAATCACCCGTATACGGAACTAGCTTATTATTTAAATAATTTTAATAAATTTTTGTATAATTACTTATACTTAAATTTATTATTTACGATCGAAATTTTTTAAATAAGAAGTAACAGATTACTTTTAGTACCTTCAAGTTTGTAAAGTTGTCACTTATATTGCAATTGTGGTCATGTAGGGAATTTGTGGTCACTCTTGTACCTAATTTGAGAATGCATGATTGTTTGTTTGTATAAATTTGTGTTCGATGTTATGAGCCTATGAGGATTAAATAGTTTGTATAAATTTGTGTTCGATGTTATGAGCCTAAGAAAATCACCAACATTTCAATATATAGAATTAGGAGATTGATTAAAGTTTACACAAGTGAGGTTTCTCTGCGGTTACATATATGGTTGGTAATTTAGTAGAGCACCAGATACAAATTATACAATAGCAAAAAAAAAGGTCCTCGTTAGATATATAATCAAATCATCATTTATGCAGAAAATGTTATGTAACAATGGTTCATCATAGATACAAAGAAAAGAAATAAACAAGTTAATTTGACAAAGCAGAGAATAAACTCTCAACATACTGAACAGAACCTACGGGTCTGGTAGGTTTGAAGAGAAAATCATAGGATTAATTGGTATGGAGATCATGTATCACCAGTGCGTGCGAGGTATCACGACCTTGAAGCAATAACTTACCCTTGTCCATAATTGCTATCTGTGAGAGGGCAAACTCGGGTACCCCAAACCAAGAAAAAGTTTGGGTGAGATCTATGCAACACATTTGGTTCCATGTCTTGCCTGAAGAATGGAACGACCATATGACTTGGGTGGGCCATTTTTTCTCAGATACGCACAAGCGGTTATCGAGGATGCACATGGTGAGCTGACGAGGGTCACATGGATGGGCAAAGGGAGCTTTACATATGACTTGGAAAGTTTCTGTGTGAAGATCGAGAGATAGTACCTTGGGTTCTTCACAGTTGGTGAACCAATAAAGTGACCCATCTAAATATACAGGTTTATGGTAAGCATTGATCTGATAAGGAGAAGCAGGGACAACGAACCTCCATGCATTGGTGGTAAAATCGAAAAGCTCACAAGTAGTAGCATTGTCTAGGCCAAATATAGATGAATTATATAACCAAATTGGCTTGTACGTGCCCGTTAGTTTGTCTTTACCGAGTCCAAGCTTAGGGCTTGGGAAGTTGACATGTTTTCTATCGAACCTAGGGATGTAGAGCTGTTGATAGCTGCAAAGAGGAAAATTCTGATGCCATCCAGTAGCGGGATTCACCACAATACTCGGTGTGTGGATATCGTAGAGGCATACAATACCATCACAACTGCCATAACAGAACAAGGGGCCCGAATTAGGGATCCTGCCTGTCCTAGCTACTGATGACCCGAAGCTAAATACTCGATTATCATCTCGTTTCAGAGTATTTTCACCATTGACACACAAGAATAGGACATAGACACCTCGTGATTGCCTACGGCGCTGTAGACGTCGTTCTTTGAATCGTCGGGAATCGATTGTTGATTTCCACTTCTTGGATACAGACCTGGATACAAGCAGAGCCTCCACGCACTACAAGAAAATAGGGATATTGCAACACAATTTTTCTAACGTTCGTTTTTGTTGAAATCTTGCAATACATTTTGCAATATTTTTGCAATAATGAGTACATGTTGTAATTTTATTACAAATTTATTGCAATATTACAACAAAAGTTTTTGTTGTAGATTTTTCTTACCAATTTGCAACTTTCTTACAACATGTAAAGATTTCATGCAAATTTTGCAAGAAACATTCAACGATAGTTAGTCGTGGGTTTTTTGCAACAAAAAAATATATAGGCCCTATGTAGCTACACTTGCAACATTTTTAGTAATATTTAACAAGTCCGGTATATTCAGTTTAATTGGACAAAATTTGTAGTATTGTTTGGGTTACTCTATGTAGATATGATCCCATATATATTCATATCATGATTTAGGTAGAGTTTGAAGTGTGATTTTTGTAGTTGGCATAAAAAACGAAGATAAACAGACCGAGGCTGATGAATCCGAATCAAAAATTATTATAATTTGTAGTCATGTAAAATTTCATACCAAATTACCTAAAACCAAACCTAAAACTAATCCAAATCGAACTTAAACCAATCCCAAAATTTGACATGCTTGTGACTTATGTTAACTTTTTTCCTGACACTACTATAGTTTACTTAAGATTAAACAAACAACATTATTATATGACATTCTTATATGTACACGTAAAATGTTAAATCTAGCTATTTAGCATTCCCTCTTTCCTTTTCCCGCTAGTGTTTAAATTGACTTTTAATATTGGATAATTTCCAGATTAACTCTTTGAAATATGATTCTCTAGTACAATTTGCATATATGCCTTTATTCTTTCTTTTTTTGCTTTTATTTACGAGAACAAACAAATATATTTTGAAATCTTATAAATAATAAATGGTATCTGAACAACTTCTTATCCACATCGACACCACAATAAAAGCTGGAGTTTTATAGATTACCAATCCCAACACCACATTATCAACAAAACATGAAATTTACTAAGATTCAAGAAGATTATGCTTTCTCTTGACATGTGATTTTTTTGCCTTTTCTTTGGTGGATATAGCAGAATATTGTTAGGTACGACATCACCATGAGCGATTGTAACTCCACTCCAAAGTTTTTCGAATTCATCATCGTTCTTAATCGCAAGAGGTAGATGTCTCAGAATGGTCCTAACTTTTCCATCGTCTCTCGCCGCGTTAGACACTTTATATAAACCTTTCTTAGTTCATCATAAGTCCATAATTACGAGATCTATTCCGAAGAAGGTAGTAAAACCATTACTTACTTTTAAGTGTTTTTATTTTATTTGATACAATCTAACTCCAATTAAGTATTTGTACCTACGAATCATTTGATTTAGTTTTAGGTTGTTTTATTTTTGTTGTATGTTTTTATTTTAATATATATTAACTCTGTATTTATTTTTGAAATATTTTCAGATAAATCATAATCATCAACTACCTATTTGTTAGAGGAGATCTTAACAAAATTCCAAAAACCAAGGAGCGACTGAGAAGCTTAAAGGATTGGAGAAACTGTTGTTATTATTTTTTATTGTTTTTTTTTTTCTTTTGATGTTTTAAAGTATTTTGATATTTATAATTTGTTGGATGTTTTTCTTTACTTATCTGATATATTTATTTTTTATTCAATCTTAGATTTTCTATTATATATAAAATAGTACATTTTTAATTATAAAATTTAGTACTGATTAATCATTACAATTGTTAACAATCCAAGGGTCAAATTTTAAATATAGAAAAATTATTGTGACGAAACGATTCACAATAAAATCTTGACTATATATATTGTTATAACAATGCAAAAATATTAGTTATGACAATACTTGCCACAAGTTACGCTTTTGTAATCGTAACAAAATCTTTGTAACAAAGGTATATTGTAAAATAGTTATCACAATTTTGCAATGGTATTTGCTATATGTTTTACGTAACAATGATTTACGACAATTTATTGTTACAAACGTACGTCGTAAATATACAACAAATTTAGTGGCAAAGTAGTGTTGCATTAATACAACATCTATAGCAAGAAATGGATTCATTGCAAAATTTACGACGTTTGTGCGACATATACGAATTTGCAACGCTCAATCAGCAACACTATAAATTTTGTCGCGTTTTCATTGCAATTATATATTTGCAACGTTATATTGGCCTATAGCAACAATTTACAGTATTGCAATATCCATATTTTCTTGTAGTGACGGGAAGTGTCTCGAGGATGAGCTCTATCACATCGTGGGGTAGCAATTCTTCCTCACACGAGCGATGTCTTTTCCACAACATTGTATCGTCTCTAAATTCATCAGGAGAGGCTAAATCTATATATATACACGGATTGAGTATCCGAGTCGGGCTGGGAATTGGAAATATGAAAACATCAGGTCGGAAAAATGGAAAATTCAATTTCTAATGAAAAAATGGAAATTTCTAACGCTTTCTTATTAGAGGATCCTAAACACAAGTCATTTAAGTGTCAACAAGTCCAACCTATGAGACAAGCAAGCCCATGACTAACCCATGTAATTAGGGTTCTCTAGCAAGATAGTCTACTATATAAAGTGTGTAATGAACATTATTGTCTCTAACCTAGAGAGTTGCCACATTGAGCAACTCTCCTCTTTCCCATTTTATGAAATCAAATCTAAAGTCTTAAGTGTTCTTGGTGACAATCTAAGTTCTTCTTCTTCTTCTCTTTACATTTATGTTTAATAAAGCTCGAATGAGCTATCGCATTTTCAGTTTTAGATTTCTCTTTCAATAAGCTCTTAATGAGCACAAATCTATCTTGCTTTGAGAATGTTTTCATTTCTCTCTTCAAATCAAGATACCAAACAAAACTATTCGAATCGATTCCCATCATAAATCATGCATGAGTTTTGTATATATTACAAATAATGTTAAATGACCTATATAAGAGCAATTGAATCTCACATTTTGTCGTTAGCATTACAATTTCAAAAAAAAATGAAATTAACATCTATACTATTAATTGGGAAGCACTCAAACATAAATAACCTTATAAAGTATAAAGTATTACAAAAATATCATTCGTTTTTGTTTTTAAATAAATTCATTAAAGATACAATAGTAATCACAAAATAATTTATTTAAATAAAAAATAATAAAATTCTTTAAAGTAATTATTTGT